GGCACACAGGCACACGAGGACTCTGAGCCGCAAGTTTTCTTTCTTATCAATTTCAACGAGCACACCGACACACACACACACAGCTGGCCATTTGTATGGGTGGGTGGGTTGTGAGCCCGCATAAGTTGACACATTCAGGAGCAAACCCAAGCCTGCAACGGCAGTGGCCGTCTCCGTCCTCAAGCCGGGCAAGCAGCCTCTTCGGCATATCTTAGCACTTTCACTCTCTCTCTCCTTGTGGCTGCTGGTACTTCTGGCTGGTGGTGCTGCGCTGGTGCTTCTGCTGCTGCTGCCGGTGGTGCTTCTGGGTGGGTCCTTGTTGTCCTTGCTTATTGCATGTGTCACGGTTATTGATTGGAATGCGCATAAATTGAGCCAGCCTGCTCCCCCAGTCGAATTACATATGTGGGATTTTCCCTGGATTCCCCTTTCCGTTTTGCTGTTCTTCGAGTTTGTTGTGCTCTGCCATTTCTCCCCCGATCGGCTGGGGTGTGGCTAATGCCGGACCCGAACCACCCTTTGATTTGTAGTCGCTGCTACTTAAGTTAATTACCAAAAAAGAAAATCCAGCTTAATAATTCAAGTGGCAGTGGCATCAACTGTCCAACCCTTGCCTCCACCTCCACCTCCACCTCCAACACTATTGAGTGAGTGGCTGCTGCTGGCTGCTGGCTGCTGTCGAGTGTCTGCTCGAAGGTCGGCCTGGCCTTGGCTTGCCCCAGTTGCCACAGTTGAACAGTCAACGAGCCAGCACGAGTCAGCGCGTGGGTAGTGTCATATTGGATTACTTCTAATTGGCACAACAGTTTAAAGAGCGGCAGTGGCAGTGGCAGTGGCAGTGGTAGTGCCAGTGTCAGAGATAGCGTCTCATCATGCTTGCTCCACTTATCCGTCGCGATCTTCTGAGCCCAGGACCAATGGGTAATTACGATTCCATCCACTGGCCGACTTTGCCGTCACCTATGCCGAGACGAGCTGAGTGGGATTAAACGACATTATAGGGTATTACACATTTAGGCCAAGTGAGACAAAGACAAAACACCGTAACGAAATGCTACACATAAAAAAAAGAACAAAAGAAAGAAGGAAGAAAACAAAAAGGAAAATAGCAAAAGAGCAAAAGGAAAGTACGAGTAGAGGTAAAAGCAAAAGCAAAAGCAAAAGCAAAAGAGACCAAAACGAACAGAAAGGCAAAAGTAAGCTGAAGGATGGGAAAGGGACTGGGGCGGGAAATTCTTGAGTGAGTTTTGGACTGGCTCTCCCTCGCTCTTCTGGGGCAGTGTGATTAAGTGTCCTGCATCAAGTAATTTTTCATACTTCAACTCGAACTGGCAGCCAAAATAGAGTTCGAAACAGCACCTGCTGTTGGCGTACTGTTAGCCAACAGTCTGGACAGCAGCAGCACATCCTGGAAGTTCGAAACAGCCTGAGAGCCGCAAAGAGAGAAAGAGAGCCAGAGAGCGCTAGCTAGCGCTCTCTCTTGTCAGCTGCTGCTGACTTCGCGGCCACACACTCGTTCTGGTGCGCTCGGACTCGGGTTCGGTTCGGGTCGGTCGGTATTCCAGTTAAGCGCCATCTGCAATTGTGGCACAGTCAGTGCTTTGGGGCCATCAGCAAGAAGCAGGATTGTACGGTATATATCCTGCGTCGTCGCGTCCACCACTCACACAAAGAAAAATCAAATCAAATCGAATCAAATAATACCACAAAAAAATAGTAAAGAAAAAGAGAAAAAGAAAAGAAAAGAAAAGCACCCCCAGAGGACACCATCAAATGTCTTTGAGTTAGCCGCAAGTGAAGAAATCAAAGTGCCAATCCCTCGGAATGTGTACGGCAAACGGGATAAATATAGTATGCTGCGAGAACTGCCATTCGGGCTAGTCTAGTTGCAGGGAAAAAGGGTGGAGGTGGAGCAGTTGGACAAGGACAAGGGAAGCGGAGCAAAGCAGACCACAGAAGAAAAGAAAAGAAATGAAATGAAAGAAACGAAACGAAACGAAAGAAACCCAAGAAAATCTGCTAAGCCAAGCATAACTCTCGAGCACTGCCTACAACGCCCCCTAACCTGCCGTGTCCCCGCCCACACGCGAACGAACCGTTACGGCAGTTGATGCTGCGCTCTGGGAAGAACACCCATACACGCGCACACACACACACACACTCATACACACACACACATACGCTGCCTTATATGCACGACTATATAAGTACACTTTATAGGTACATAAGTATATGTGCAAATAGTTAGTGTATTTTTCAGTGCGGTAACGGTAACGGTAGCGCTAACGGTAACGCCTTCACCCACCTTTCCCCGGGGAGCATTCACCCCCACCGCCTCCCTTTAAAACAACGGGTATAAAAGAAAGAAAAAAAACAACGAAAATCCCCTGTGATTGTTATATAATTCGAAAAAGAATCCTTAAGCCAGCATATTGTTCAGTTGAGGAATTGTGCAGCACATCGCTGAAACTATTCCTGGCATAGTGTGTAGACCGATTCGATTCATCGGAATCGAGACAAATGTTTCAGAGTTTTGTGCTACGTTCCGGGCTTATATAAGCGGCTGTTGTACGGCTGAATGGAATGGATCCACCAGCAGCAGCAGCACACGCACCACCACAAAAAAAAAAAATAAAAGAGAAATTCCCCCTGTACATATACACCTCTACATGGGTGTGTGCGTGTCTCTCAGTGTGCGTGTGTGTATGTGTGTGCGTGTCTCTCAGTGTGTGGGTGTGTGTGTGCGCAGTGTCAACGCAGCAAATAAAACAAAAGTGAAAGTTAACACACAGAAAGAAGAAGAAGAAATACTTCGATTGGGAGCGGAGCAACAAAATGAGAAGTGAAGGAGTACAAGAGCCTGGGCTTGGGTCGCTGGTCGAGGGTCATGTGGGGAGGGTGGGCCAACAAGGATTTAAATAATACAACTGTAATCAACAAAGAAAAGTAATTTCCTTTGTGATACACACGCAGGCAACAATTTCTGCGAAGGATCTCAAGACTTTCAGGGAAATTTGTAATCAAAAGAAAAGACAGAAGAGGGGAGAGAAGATTTCAGATTATTTTTCTTTTTTTCTTTTAACATAATGTGCTGCGCTTTCCACTTCTTGGACTTTAGCACCAACACCACTGCACAACACAGACACGCTTCAAACGGGGGAGAGGAGAGACTCATGGCAAATCTTACCACCAATACTTAGACAGAAGGGCTACAGTGACGACCCCAAATACGAGATGGGGGCGACCGACTCGGCTTCTGCTTCTTTGCCATCTCTCCTTTTGCTTCTTCTTCGGCTTCTACTACAACAAAAAAATGGCATGCCGAGTGCTTGCCTGGCTGCCCTAAGTAACTACTCACACACAAACACACTTTCAGCGAGAGAGAGAGAGTGGAATAGTGGGAGAGTGGGAGAGAGAGAGCGAGAGAGAGGCAGGCGCGTACACGTACACTTACACCCACGACTGTTCGTTCTCGTTCTGATTCTCATTCTCGTTCTCGTTCACGTTCCCATTCTCGTGGTGCTCGTGGATGGGGATCCATCCACAGCCATCCGCTGTTTTTGTGTTTGCAGCCCCAAACAGCAGAGCAGAGCAGAGCAGAGAAAAGCGAGCAGCAGCAGCAGTGGGAGCAGCAGCAGGCCGCTGGCTGCGAATTATATAAATTTCTTTGCGCTCTGTGTGCCTCTGCTTGTGGGTGTGTGTATTTATGTGTGTGTGTGTGTGTGTTAGATATACGGGATTTCCACGACAATTTTTTTCGGCTTTCTTATTTTGTGCGGTGTTCGCGTTCGGCTGCTCGGGCCCCAGAGCTTCGGCTGAACGAAGCGCGCGCCCCAAGCCCCGTTCCATCCAACTGTTTCTATGCAGAACATAAAAAAAAAAAAAACAAAGAAAGAAGAGCAGAAACTAGACAAACTTTAGTTAAATATTTTAAGAAAGTGCTTTCCAATTACATTTTCTCAGTGGTTTTTCTCCGAATAACCTCAACAAGAAGCAGCAGTCAGTGGGCGGAGAGTGAGCGAGAGTCAGGCCAGAGAGCAAAAAGGGAGAGCGAGCCATTTTTGGGGAAGCCTGAGAGCGTGAGCGCACAAAACATTTTTGAAACAGTTCTTGTTTTTTTTTGGTTGAACTAACTAACCAACAACTAAACACCCAAAATAATGGAGTATATATAAATGAAATAACAACAACAATCACGTTTTACAACAATTTCTTTATGTCTGTGCAGATTTCGAAATAATTATGTGAGCCCAAAAACCAATTCAACGAAGCAGCCGAATTTCCACAAAATTTCCAATTTCAAGGTTAATGTGCAGCCCCAACAACTACAACAACAACAGCAACAAAAAAAAAACAACAGAAACAACAACAGCATCCATAACAGCAGCTGCCACAACCCCCCGCCCCCCATCCATACTATAAGCTAACCAATGAAATTCCACAAATAGTTGATAGTCCCCAAAAAGAAAAAGAAAATACAGTGCAAAGAAAACGTGTGAAAAATTGAATCCATGAAAAGTTTGAAATTGTTCAATTTGTGTCGAATGTCGAAATGAGCCGAGGGTACCCCTACCGGATTAGTCCCCCAGCAGCCGAGGCCAACTGAATGCCATCCAGCGACCTGGAGAGCAGCGGGACTTAGCTTTGGAATCTTGTTGAAGGCACGGGACAGGACAGGATTCATGCCTCTAGCAGCAGCAGCAGCAGCAGCAGCAGAAGAAGAACCAGGAGCAGAGGCAGAGGCAGAGCCAAAGACAGGGAGCAGAACTGTTCAGCAGACACTGAAACTGGAGTCAAATCAGGATAAGGATACGGATAGGGATAGGGATAGGGATAGGGATACGGAACAGGAGCAGCAGCAGCAGCAGCAGCCGCAGCTGGATCTGAGCACACCAAGTAGTCCGAATCCCACACTTCTGATGATGATGGGGCCATGAGCCCATCATTACTCGCATTGAATTGGAGTCGCAAGCGCGTCTCAAGCGGGCCTGCACCATGCTAGCACCGCCGAACCCGAGGTCAATATGCGGCCAGGACCCGGGCTGGTCGTGATGGCGCTTGCGTTTATTTCGGGGGCTCGGCGTGGCAGCAGCAGCAGCATCAGCTCAACGACGACGACGACGACGACGACGACGACAGCATCCACATCAATAGGAACAACATCAGCGGGAGCAGCGGGAGTAGGAGGAGGAGCAACATCGGGAACTGGAGCAACTGCAGAAGGAGCAGGTGGAGGTGGAGTTGGAGCAAGAGGAGGTCACAGAGGTGGAGGAGAAGTTGGAACTGCGTTACCGTCCAGAGGCGAGTCGTCGTCATTCATTAGCAGCTCTGGCTCATATCTGCTGCCCATCTTCCTGCCTCACCATCTCGACTTGTACCGTCGGGCCAAGCCCCAGGCCATCTACCAGCTGCCACCCACTTACCAGCACGCCCACGGCCACGGCCACAACCCCGACCCCGACCCCGACGATCCGCGTGGTCGCACAGAGGCGCTCAGCGCGAGGCTAAAGCTTCGTCGGAGACGCGAGCGCAGCCTCAGTAGCGACATTGTGGGCAGGGCGGGAGGGACGAGAAAGGGAGTGGTGACGGAAACGGAAACGGGAACTGGGTCCAGCAACGAGGAGGAAGAGGCCGAGCAGGAGCAGGAGCAGGAGGAGAGCGGCTTGCCGGTGCAGTATTCATCCTCACAAGCGTTAGACGAGGACGAGGACATCTTTGCCCTTGTGGCCGAGGACGATTTGCTGTCCGAAGAGTCCTTCGATCGCTTGATAAAGCTCAACGAGGACGTGGACGAGGAGGATAAGCTCAACGAAGAGGATTACAATATCCAGCAGCAGCAGCAGCAGCAGCAGCAGCAGCACGAGCCAGTCCAGGAATTGGAGGCGGACAACGAGACAGAAGCGGAGACCGAAACAGAGACAGAGACGGAGACGGAGAAACAGCAGCAGGACGAGAGCAGCCTGATTGATGAGAGTGTCCTGCAGCCCAGCGACAACATTAGCCCCAAGGAGTTTCCTTCCACCAACAGCCAGAGCAACAGCAACAGCAACAACAACAATAACAATAACAACAACAAGAGGGAAGCTACAGGCAACATCCTTGATGTCCAGGCGGCTCAGCTGATTGGCCAAAAGGATAACAGCTGGTCCGGCGGCACCTTTGGCACCTCCGCTGCAGTGGCCATAGCCTCAGGCTCGGGCTCAGGCTCAGCGGCATCAGCGGCATCAGCGGCATCAGCGGCGGCCGGAGCAGCAGGCGGCGGGTCAGCAAGATCCCTGCCAGACCCCGTGGAGCTGAAGAAGAGCATACTCGGCACTGCGTCCTCATTAACACGCCTTAATCCTTGGATATCAGCCTGTGATCTGGCACAGCCGGGCACAGGCACCGACTTGCAGGTGAGTGTGTTTACTCTGCCACACTTTTCCCTCGCATTCCCCCAGGTGGCTGCTGGCGTCTCTCGTTGAACTTTAATTTCCTCTAAGCAGCAGGGCAGAGCGATTATAAGGCATCCTTTGGGCTACTGTTGCAGGATAATGGCCTTGAGCACAAGCCGCAATCAATTCCGTACAGCAATGCAGTCGCCAGCGACATCTGGGATTGCTTTGTCCTTGGTTCCTTGTTGCAGCCACCACTTCACCCCCCCACCACTCACTCACTCAAACTGTCAAGAAATTGACAACAATGCACAGCTTAAGTGCATACAAATACTCGCTCACAAACACACATAGGGAAGGAACAGGTTGGTTTGGGGACGCACTCAAATACATGTACAAATTGTATGCATTTCAGGGGATTCTTATTGCAAAACGACTTGAAGGGATCCCTCTGCCTGTCCCTGGCCACCTCGACTCGGTAATATTGAAAGCTTGTACTGCCCCTGCCCCTGTCCCTGCCCCTCCGCTTCCCTTCTCTTCTCTGCTAATCCCCACTGAACCTTCACCTGCTTTTTGCCAAGCAGAAAGTTTAGCAGAACTAGAACCAGCGGACAGTGCTTGCACAATGGATGCTCATAAATGCTCCTCACTTTATGGATTATTTTTGGCTTCTTTTCACCAAATATTCTTCAAGTATAAATTAGGCAATAGTTAAACATCCTCCTCGAGAGGCAGCAGCAAAGAAATACCATTTAAAACCATCCTTTGGCAATTGAAAAAGTTAATTTTTCACTTCATATGGCAAGGAATTTTGGTCTCAACTGAATATTATGTAAATGCTAAGTTCAGCCAACGGAAACTTTAACTTTTGTCGAGGGAAAATGGGGAAAGAAACTCCAACAAAGGCATTTCTTACTACCATTATTATTGCGAGGGTTTCTCGCTATCGAGCCAGGCACTTTTTCTCTCTTGTTGGCTTCCCACTCAAGCTGCCAAAGGAAAAAGTGATTTTCAGTTTTTCTTCGTTATTTTCCTTGTGACAATTGCGGGGCCCCCAGCTAGGGCCACTTCAGATTCCACGACAGTTTCATCATCATCATCATCGTCATCGTCATCATCATCGCTAGAGCTGGCAGCTGGCAAAACGAGCTGAAAATCAAGGAAAATGCCTTGGCAATTGTGCCAGAGAGAGAGAGGGAGAAAATGAGAGAGTGGAAGGATGTGAGAGAGAGAGAGAGAGAGAGAGAGTGAGAGAAAGACCATCCATCCGGGCACTTTCAAATTGATTCCTTTTTGAGGTCTTCTTGCTTTTTTGGTTGTCTGCCAAAAATCCATGCTAACCACTCACCTATGGAATGCAATTCTGTTGCTTCCAGCACCACCTCCAGCACCACCTCCATGTGCACCCTGCACTTCCCTGCTCAACCACACTCAATTGGTTCTGCTCTGCCAAATCTAATTCAGATTTTAATATTTATTAATGCATTCCTGCATCTGCCATTTGCCCAAAATGCAAATTAAATTGAATCCAATTTGGCACAACGTTTGGCGTTTAATTTTTCCACGGAGAGACCGCAATCTGATGAGGTTTTATTTGTTGTTCAAGACAGACAATTAGGCCCAACCTCGAATTCCAATTGTCGATCGGCAAGTGCCCTGTGCTCGCTCCTATTGATTTTCCCGTCATCTGGTGGCAGGAGAGAAAGTTCTTTTCCTAGCCAAATGTCTGTCATTCTGCCAGCCTACCGGCAATTAAATAATTAAGCCAATCAGACCATTTGAAGTCATTTAAGTGGAGGAGCAGCTGTCAGGACTGGCATGGGACTAGCGTGTTAGCCTGCCTGCGGGCAAAGTGAAAAATAATTCAACTTATCGCATCAATTCGATGGATTTCCTAAACGATGCAATCAGCTACGAGGAGAGCTGTTTCTTGGTCATCGCAAGTACCTACAAAAGATTGTTCTTTGATTCATGTTCCTTCATCTACTGCTCTCTTTTCCTCTTGACTGATTCCCTTTGAACAGTGTCAAAGCATAGCCTGACAGCTTATGAAGAGTGCAAAAGAAAGTAAAGGGTAATGGCTGTACAGCATCAAAGTCCATCGATGTCCAGAGCTGTTCCCGAGAGAGTGGCAGCAATGTTTGACTATAACAATTTCAATCCAGCCTTGTCCCTGGGCCAGTTCCGGCTGCTTTAGAGTTGCAAATTAGCAAACATTCCTCTAATCTCCATGTCAGGAGTGGGTAAAGCTTGCCCTCGAAGCTCCTCTTTTTTCCGGCCTGCCTCTAGAGTCTTTTTGCCAGAGCCAGTGAGGAATTTATGATGAGGCGAATGGCAAGTGGCAGCATTCAGCCTGCTGGGGCCAGGCCTTAGAGGGCTTACAGGAGTCCCTGTCTGTCCCTCTGCGTGGCTGCAATGCATAGTGAAGCATGGCTGTTGTGGCACTCGGGGCGCGCCACGAGTGCTTGCCAAGTGCAATTCGAATTGAGTCGCCAGTCTGCGATGGCGGAGTAGTAGGGGCAAAATGTGCGCCTAGTTCAGCTGATCACTGGAAGGTGGGCCAGACTGGGCCAGGATCTCACTTCATAAGGCATTTGCCCTTTGATGCTGCCTTGCTCCAGGCCTAATCCCCATGTCGAGTAATCGCCTCTTTCTCCATGTCGAGCATCCTACCTTTCATTTGTTGTTCGCTCTCCTTTATGATCCACGGTTTTTGCTCTACCATTTTTTTTTTTCTCCTCCTATCCGGCCGGGTTCGAGTGGCAATTGCAGCTCAGGAAACAGAAACAGCGCTGCAATGGGGCATACAATTTTGTATTGGTTTCATGCAACTTGTACACGCAACGAGGCAGGCAAACAAGACCCAGTTTCAGTTGCACTTTCAATCCCCTTCAATTCAGTTAAGTTCAGTTAAAACAACCTTTGCGCTGCCGTTGTGGAATTTAATGCCAAATTCTATACACCTACGAGGCAGGTTGGCTGGCCCACACCCACACCCACACAAACTTTTGCAGAGCGAAGCGGAGCGGAGGGGTGAGGAGAGTAGAGGAGAGGAGAGGAGGAGCCTGGGCGAATGTTTATTTGTGTCAAGGATGTGTACAAAATCAATTATTTTGTAAGCAGTTGCGGGCTGTTGCTGGTACTTTTGGTGCTGTTAGCGCTGCCAGTTAGCTGGCTAGTGATGCTGCTGCTTCTGCTGCTGCTGTGCCAGTTGCAAGTTGCTGCCTCCGATTACATCATTCCCAGCCAGACACAAACAATACCGAAAACTGTCATAAATTGTCCGCCTTCGGGCAAATGGTTTCCAGAGCAAAACTGTGGAATAATGCTGTCTGCCAGCCCGTGTCAGAGCGAACTCTCCCTACCCCTCCATCGAACTGATTGAATATGAATCTGCAGAAAGGACACACACACACGAACACACTTCCATTATTTATGTATCTCTCGAATTTATTTCGATTAAACGTGGAGCTCCCAATTGATTCCGGAATTTGCCAGATTAATGCAGGAAATAAAATCAAATTTCAATAATTTCAAGAGTTTAAGTTGCAAGTTTCCATCTACTTATAGATGAATGCAAATCAAACTCACTCGATATTCAAATGAATGATTAATAAAACGAAAAAGGGTTTAAAATTCCAATACATAAACTCAGTGAATTATTTGTTTGCAAATTTGACTGATCCAAATCCATCGAAGCTAATTTATGCGCATTTATTTTGCAAAAGAACTGCCTCAAATGGTGGAACATTAGTCGCTGCCAACGACACGAAGCTGCCAATTAGTTGGCAGCACAATTAGCCAGGCGCAGAGATGTCTTCAGCTTCAGGTTCAGCTTCAGCTGGTGGGTTGTGGTTCACCTTCCACCCATCCAGTGGGTTTGTGTTTGAGTCGCTTGAAATGTTAATTGGCCGCAATTTGCATTTTGAGCTTGTCAAATGCCAGCAACTTTTTGCTCGGGGTTGGGGGAGTGTGGGAGGTGCATTGATTGGGCCATTAAGGCAAAAGAGGTAACAGTAACAGAACACGCTGCTCTCTTTGCGCCGTCCCTTTGTGATACTTGAATGCAATGTCCAGGCTAAATACACAAAACAATTACATTAGCCCCCGAAGGGTGGCCCCGGGGTCACGGCTTGCCATCCAGCACGGGGCTAATGCAATTATGTCCTGCGTCCACCCGGACTCTCGCCCTGACTCTCCGGCTTTGGGCCCTGGGCTCTGGCCTTTGGGCCAGGGGAATGGTGCACGCTAACTAAGTGGAGCACTGCTGCACTGCATTCCCATTCACATTCACATTTCCATTCTACCATTTGCTTCTATTTCATTTGGGTCTTTCATTCCAGCCGGCGCTGAGCGTAAATTATTCAATGAGCATTGTTTGAGTAAAAGTTGCAAAATGAATTTCTACTCAAGAATTTCATTACGAGTTCGAAAACAAGCGAACAGAGAGGGTAGAGGGATGCTGATAGCGAAAGGGAATATGTACAGACAATGGCCAGGGTCCCTTCGGTGGGCACCCCAGATCCCCCACACCCTGTGCTGCAGGGCCTCGTTTTGTTGCCGCCTGTCCGCAGTTGTCCACATGTTTACATCTCATTTCATTAAATTCATTCAACTTATTGTTGTCATTAGACAGGGCGAGGGGAAGAGTGAGCGAGAGAGAGGTACACAATTACACGTACACGCACACACACACACACACACACACACATGCCAAAGGCCGGTAAATGTTTGACAAATTAATGTTGATAAAATTGTATAGCATAACGGCAGGCGCCCGGCCCTTTCTCCCGCGAGTGTGTGTGTGTATGTGTATGGGTGTGTGTGTTAGGTAAACAAATATGTGATGTGACATACAGAGAGGTGCGTCCCTTTGGAAGGTTCACACCCTTCACCCATCACCCATCACACTTCCCACTCTTCCCTTTCGATTTTGTTTTGGGCGCGGTTTTTTCCTCCGAAAATTTCTCCGTTGTTTGCCCGATAATGGGGGAGACCACGAGCCATATAGATGGATTGAT